GATGCAGTGAGCAGAGCACTCCGGGATCACTCACGGCCTCCAGCCCTCCAGGACGTCGCGGTCTAGGAGAAGGGCCAGCGTGCAGGTGGGAAGGCCTGCGGGGAGCCGGCAGCGGGGTCGGAGGCCACCCCGGACCACCCCGGGCCAGAGCCCACTCCGGGCCACGCCGCACCCTGCAGGGCCCAGGCGTCCCGGGACTTGCTGGAGGGCGGGAGCAGCGCCCCCTCGGGGCCGGGGGTAGCCTGGACCCGGCCCGGAGCTTCATGAACCTCAGGCCTGGAGGGCGCGGGATGGATCGAGAGCTGGGTACCCCGAACCTCCGCCCCGCGCTGCCGGTGGTCGCCGCCGCTCGCAGGTCCAACATGCCCCCGGTGCCCGGCGCGCCCACCCGCCCCCTGCCGGCCTCCGCGGAGCCGCAGCGCCACCGCGCGGCCTGGGGAAGCATTGCAGCCAGCGTGGGGACCTGCTCCGCGTTTCCCAGGAGAGCAAGGTGGGACCCACTGGGATCCAGTCAGATCCGCCAGTGCTTTCAAGTGCCAGAAGTAATCCCTGAATACAGACAGAGCCAGAAGTAAGCCCTTAGCACTGCTGGGTGTGACACAACTCCATCCTCCCCCCTCCTCAAATGCATAGGGAAGTTTTGCCTACGGAGTCGTTTTATGCAAGATGCAGGAAAGGGAAATCAAGACTTTGAGTAAGATGCAGTAACATAAATCCCTCTTCCGCTGCTGACACCAACAAAAAACTCAGACATCATAATATAAAACAAGACATGGTGTGCAAGTAAGCCAACGCCCCAGACATCCAGGACTCTCCCTAAAACTACTGGGGATACCAAAAACAACGAGGAAGATCTCGACTCAGTGAAAAAGAGTGGATGGAAACACTGAGTGGCCAGAATATTGACTGACAAAGACCTTGAAGTAGCCGTGACAGAAGTGGCTCAACAAGGATTTATGAACATATTTTAAACGGGCGGGGGGGGTGGGGGGGTCTCAGCAAACGCAGGAAGATAGACAAAAGAACCAAGAGGAAGTCTTATTATTGAAACATGTAATGAGAGAAAATACTCTGTTGCAGAGTGGAAAGGGAAAAGCAGAAATCACCCATTTTGAATTACAGAGAAAAATCAGTGGTGATAAATTGTCAGACTTGTGTCTGGAGATATATTAGAGTAGTGAAGGCTTTTTCTTTTCTTTTCTTTTTTTTTTTTTTGCATGTCATCAACCCTAGTTCAAATCCTTGGCACCCCGAGCATTGCCGGGAGTGATCCTTGAGCACAGAGCCAGGAATAAGCCCTGAGGACCACCAGGTGTAGCCTCCAAATTAAACAAGCAAATAAAATAGTCAGAGACTAGAGAATCCTTGGGACTATCATTAAGTCATTTAATATTAATATTCTGGCTGTCAGAGTCCCAGATAAAGAGGAAAAATAAATGCTCTGAAAAAAATTATGAAACTAATGGCTGAAAATTCCCCAACTTTGAGATAAGGTCTTACAACTGATGGGTTTTTCAACATACAACAGATATGTTGAAAACACACACACACACACACACACACACACACAGAATAAAACGTTTCAAATCCATCTCAAGAGTTATTAAATTTCTAAAGTCTAAGGCCCAAATTTCAAAAGCACTTGGAAAAAAACTTTCCTTTAGGGGAAAATTATTTGAATGATGGTGAATTCCTTATCAAAAATCAGGAGGAAAAAGCACTTCAGTGCTAAAAAACAAACAAACAAAAAAAACACAAAACAGACAAAAAACCCAAAACAAACCCACAAAAATCTGCCAGCCCAGATTCATATATTGAATGAGAATGTACTTTAAAAAAGATGAAATCAAGATATTCTCAGATGGAGGATGATTATGAGAATTTGTTGTCCAGACACCTAGCCTAAAAGGATGTCTAGAAGTTCTGTAAACCAAAGGGGGAAAACATGGTGTCAGGGTAGTGGGGGACAGAAGCTTGACACATCACAAGGGACAAAAATACAATAATTAGAAATATAACTAATACAACAGATTTTTTTATCACCCCCTAAATTTTCTCAAATATGTTTGTGGTTGAAGCCAAAGTGATTCATACCTACGTTCTAAACAGGTGTAGTTGTAAACATCATTTTAAATGTACGTGAACGGAGTATTTGAGACATTCCAGAAATAGGGAAAGAGTTGAATAAGCTAAGGCATGTCACAAGCACCCAGAGATTATTTTCTTCTGTGAATACACGTGAGAACCCAGCCTGCTGTGGACACATCTCTACCTATGGGGTACCAACTTGAAAGAGGGTTAACACAAAGGCATGGAGAAGTAAAGCCATGACTCTCCCCCACCCCAGCTCCCTTTACAGATACTGATATTTCAGGATTTGGGTGTTTGGAGCTTGTTTGTTCTTGCTGTGCAGGACTAGAGCTGATTTCTCAGAAACGCAAGGCAAGCGCTTAGCTGCCGAGGAACACTGCGGGTGCAGATTATTTAGATAGCTGGGTTTTCAAGATCTCACTTATCTTTCCTTTTGACTTACGGTCTTTCTTTCTGATCCAGAGATTTTATGTTCTCTCTCTTCTGATTGAAATGCACCAATAAGGAGTAAGTCCTAAACCCTATAATCTCACTCCCTAGTGAAAGTAGGACCCCAGGTCCCTGCTTTCTCTTACTCCCTTTCTAATCACAACCTCACGGTAGCCTATTTCCAGGTCTTGGAAGCAATAAACTCCTGTTTTTGCAAAGGCCCTTGATGGTTACTGTTGAAGAGCATCTTATAATTCTAGGGACTTTAGGGGCCAGTCCAGGTAAAACAGACTGAGACTGGTACAGAAAGAAGGCCTAAGATTTCTAAACTTTACACAAACTGATGGGCAATAGCACAGCGGGTAGGGTGTTTGCCTTGCATGCAGTCAACCTGGGTACGGTCCCTCCATCCCTCTCAGAGAGCCAGGCAAGCTACCGAGAGTATCTCACCCGCACGGGAAAACCTGGCAAGCTACCCGTGACATATTCGATATGCCAAAAACAGTAACAAGCCTCACTATTTGTTGTGAGATGTTACTGGTGTCTGCTCAAGCAAATCGATAAACAACGGGAGGGCAGTGACAGTGACAGAAACTGATGAAAAAAAAAAAACCCAAAAATGTAATAAGTTAATGTGATCCCCTTAATGAACACTTAAAAATAGCCATGTAAAGATATACATGTTATAAGTCAAGGTTATAAATCAAAATTGAAATCTACAATTATCTGAGTAACTTGCAGGAAGGCAGGAAAAACAGCAAACAGAAAATATCAGACCTTACCCTTAGTTTCAGTAAGTAAACTAAATGTAAATGTTCCATACAGGCCCACTAAAAAGTAGAGATGGACAGAATGGCAATCTACTTTGAAGTAATATGGAGATTAATCAAATACAGGTTCACGCCAACTCCCAGTTCAAACTATTATCAAGAAAAACAGCTTATAGTTTTAAGACTTAAACAGATGTTAAAGGGATTAAGCTATTTAGGTAAACTCAAGCAGTGGTGATGTCTGTGGTCCTAGAAACACTTGCTGAAAGGTTTTGGGTCTTTTTGGCCTCTTTCCTTTAGAGTTTTTGCTAGATTGAGTGGAAATTCCTTGAGCATCTAGATTATTCGATTGAAAAGTTGGCTACTGGTTGTAGGTTTTACCTTTGGTTTCTCATTGGAGTGGAATTAAAGAAATTTGGTCATTTCAGTAAAAATGTCTTACTAGTAAAAAAAAAATGGTAAAATAAAAAACAAACCTTAATTCTTTTCACCTGCCAAACGTACATGTTCTGCTCTGATGCACGCTGTGAAGTCAATGCTGGCCGGGGAGAAAGCTGGCAAGGACCCCTCAGCTATAAGGCGGGGGATTGCGACCCCCACTGCCCAGTGCACGGGCTCCATGCACGCTCTGGTCCTTGCAGGGCCTGGACTCGGCTGTCCCCTCCGGAAATCTAAGCACCGAATGAGCCACTGCTGGCTCTGCCCCGGGCAAGCGGCTTCACATCAGAGCCGAGGGGTGAGCGGGAAGCACAGCCCACCACTGGCATGACGCTCCTCCCGTGGGCGCAGGACCAGCAATGGAGCTGCACAGAGGGCCAATGTGAGCTCAATGCCCTGGTGGCTTTCCAGAGGGCAGCCCCTGTTCACAGGCGGGTGGCTGGTGGCCTCAGGACCCCTGAGGTGAGCGGGGATCCCCTGGGGGCAGCTGGCACGGGGCTCCCCAAGCTCTCCCATGCCCTCCTCTTAGCTGACGCCTTCGGTAAAGAGACAAAGTTTGACTGCTTCAGTGGACTCCACCAGCTCACACCTCCAGCATACGTGGCCCAGGGGGAGAGCGTGGGGACCCCTCAGTCCGCCAGCACAGGACACAACACCCATGCCATCACTCCACTGCTTACACACCCTTCTGGCACCTTGTGCAGCCACTGAAGTTTAGGGGTGAGGTGGAGGTTTGGGGGGAGAGGATTGAGTTCAGCAGGTGCATGGGAACTGGAGGGGCTGTCTAGAGGTCAGGCCTCATCCCTGGCAGTGACCCCAAAGGGCAGTGGGGGGGCACAGGGGTGGGGAGATGCACTGGGGAAGAATATGTGCAGGGTTGGGGAGGCAGAACAGGGCCCTGAGGCAGGCCTGGCCAGTGAGGAAAGACCCCAGAGCAACCACTCCCTTCAACACGGGGGTCCCAGCAGTGTTGAGCACCCTCCCGGCCCAGCCACTGGGCACAGATGCTGTGCAGGGACCATTTCCCCCTTTCTGAAGGGCAGCAACCCAGTGGCCAGGTGTGCCCCATGGCCCGGTGACAGTGCCTCTGCTGTTTCAGGACCTAACCTGGGGGGGGGGGGGGGGCACGGCAGGACGGTGCTGGCCCTCGGCAGATGTGACTACCCACACATGGGCGTACTGGGCAGCTCCCAGAGTGTCCCGTGACTCGAGCAGGAGCTGAAGGGCTCCCCGTCCTGTCCCCGGGCCCCTCACACGAAAGCAGCCGCAGCCTAACAACGTCCAGGTCTTTATTTCCTCTCAGCGTCTCCCCGAGACCTCAGGGGCTGGCCGGCAGGGCTCGCGGGCGGGGGTCGTGGTGGCCGTGCTCACTCCTGGCTCTGCTCAGGGCTGCCCGGCTGGCACGACGGCACCTTGGCGGGACTCTCGACCGGCGGCCGCTCTTTCTTCCTGTGCTGGAGGCCCAGCGCACGCGCCACCAGCCTCCGGGCCACCACCGTGTTGGTCTGCGGCCTCTCCTTGGCCAGGCGCAGGAGCTCTGGAGGCAAAGGCAGCTCCTGAGGCCGGGGTCAGATGCAGTGGGGACCCACCCAGGGCGTGGGGGACGCCGGCTCCCCAACCCAATACCACCCCCTTCGGCCTTCGGTACCCTCCCAGGTCCCATCTGCCTCTCGCTCTATGGACCAAATTTTTTGTTAATTTTTTTGTGGAGGGTGGGGGGCTTTCTGGGTCACACCTGGTGATGCTCAGGGATTCCCCCTGGTTCTGTACTCAGGAATCACTCCTAGCAGTGTTCGGAGGACCAGATGGGATGCCAGAGATTGAACCCGGCTTGGCCACATGCATGGCAAATGCCCTCCCCTGGGTACTATTGCTCCCGCCCTCTATGGACATTTTGTGGGTGAACCTCATCAGGATGGAGCAGAGGTAGACTATGGACTGAGGTGGGATTTCCTGTGTAATTTCTAGGGGAACCGGGGATGCGAGTGCTCAAAGGGGCCTTCCTGCCCCAGTCAGCCTCACGGAAGGCTTGAGGTGTTCCTGACAACTTTTTTTTTTTTTTTTTTTGCTTTTTGGGTCACACCGGTGATGCTCAGGGGTTACTACTGGTTCTGCATTCAGGAATTACTCCTGGCGGTGCTCGGGGGACCATATGGGATGCTGGGAATTGAACCTGGGTCAGCTGCGTGCAAGGCAAACACCCTACCTGCTGTGCTATTGCTCCAGCCCCCCCGACAACCTTCTTACTTTACAGAGAGCAACCCAGGCCGGACCCCATGATCTGAATCCTCTCTGTCCACTGCTACTGACGTCCATGGCGCTAGGAACCTTTCCCTGAGCTCAGCCACTGCTGCCCCGGTTAGCTTGTTCTCTGGGGGTCCCAGGGGGTGGGAGGTGTAGGTCTGGGATCCTAGAAGAGGGAGGCCCAGCCCGCCCCTGCCTCCCTTACTGGGCCTCTGCAGGGCCTTCAGACGTGACTGCTTGGTTCCCTGAGTGAGGGGTCGGATCTTGAGCACGGAGAAGTCTCTGGTCAGGGCCTCGGCAGCTGCAGAGAGAAAAGCAGCCGGGAGTCGCCCCACAGCGGGGCCTCTCCCTGTGCTCACACCTAAGGCTCTGGGAGAGCCCCCGTGCCGCCCCCCTGAGAAGCCCCCAGCACCTCAGGTCTTCCTGGGTGGCCTGTATCTGCACAGACCCCTCACTCCCAGCCTCCCAACTCCCTTCCCAGCTCGTTCAGGGCGTGCCCTCCCTGCTCCTGAAGACACAGCACTGAGAGCTGTCCGCAGCCCTGCTCCAGAGGGGGAACTGAGGCGGGAATGCGCCACCAGCATGTCTCGGTGCCCAGCTCAGGCTTCCTCTGCACCAGGAAGCCTCTCGTCATCCTTGTCCCCACCGTCCAGTTCCAGCAGCCCCTTGAATACCCCTTTCCTGCCCCTCTGCTCCCCAACCACAGGGCCCAGGCAGTGAGAAGTCTCCCACCTGGGGTTCATTCACAGGGGCAGCTGTGACCCCTGGGGACATACGCCCTGGGGAGCAGTGGTGAGAGCGGCCCCTGGGGAGGGGGACTCTGGGGTGGCAGGAGGCACCCCTGCTTTGTTTGGGTAGGCTCTGAAATCCTGACCAGATATGACGATCCTCTCCGTAAAGTCGAGGGAATCTGGCCTAGTTCTGAGGTTGGAATAAAAACGGAATGGGAATGCCATTTTTGTGGGTGTGAAGGCTCAAGGAAAGTGCCCACAGCTTCCGGCTATAACAGCAGCGCTCTCAGATGCTCCTCTGTGTTAGCCAGTGTCCAGGGCTGGGCCTGGGACTCCCTGACGTCACCTGAATGAAGTGTCACCTTTGAGCGGGGACGGGAACAGGAACACGGATGCTCCGGACTGGTGAGCTGAGAGCAGCCCTCAGCCCCTTCCATCCAGGTCTGGGGGACCCTCTCCCCCAAAGAGCAAGGCCTGAGCCCCCTTGGGTGCATTACCTGACTCCAGGCAGGGAAAGACGCCAAGTGCATGCGTGTCATCCACCCACTGGATCTTGAAGCCCTTCTCTCTGTGCAGCGGAGGGGACAGGGGAAGGTGAGCTCCCGAGGGTAGAGCTTCTGGCCGTCTAAGGACCAAACTAAGCAGGTCACCTGCCTGCTCCTCTGCAACTTCCTTCCTGCTGCTCAGGAGAGCAGCAGAGTGTGGGGCCCTCGAGGGGCCCAGGGCAGCCCAGACTCACAGTCCCACTTGGGTACTGCCATGGTGGCCTGGGTGCTGCCTACAGTGGTCCCAGCCTGGCCGGACCTTCAGGGGCAGAGACAGCAGATTCTCTGGGTCCCACACAGCTGCCCCTTGGTGGGGGTGGGGATGGTGGTAGGAGTGGGAGGGAAGGGGGGGGGGACAGAAAGAGAGAGAGAGAGAAAGAGAGAGATTGGAATACAGAAAGGGGCTTTTTGTTTGGGGGCCACACCGACAGTGTTCAGGGTGCTTTCCTGGCTCTATGCTCAGGAGTCACCACTGCAGGGCTCAGGGGACCATACCTGGGTCAGTCCAGCACAAGACAAGTGCCTTACCCACTGCGCTCTCTGCACACACCCCTCCTCCGCCCCCCCCCCCCCCCCGCTTTTGTTGTTGTTGTTTTTTTTTTTTGAACAGCCCAGGTAGGAAAAGAGGAGGGAAACTAGAGAAAGCAGAGTGAGAAATTGAAAAAATGAAAAGGGTAGGAAAGAGTAGGAGTTTGAATTTGAAGGAATTCAATAAATGGAAGTCATTCTTATGCACCTGGCTCCCTCCCATCTTCCCCTCAAATCTTCCCCAGACACACACAGCACCCCCTCGCCCCTCCCCCCAACACACACACACACACACACACACACACACACACACACACACACACACACAGTGAAATGGCTAGACTACTGAAAGTGGCGTAGATGTGGAGCAGGGGTAGGGTTGGGCCCTCTGTCCAGTGCCAGACCCCCCCACCCCCCACCCCAAGGGTCTCCCGTGCACCAACCACAGGCTTGTCACAGCCGGCAGGTGGCGCTGCCCAGGAATGCAGGCCCATAGCAGGGTGTCCCAGTCGCCTGGTCTTTCTTTCTAGATTACTGGGTAGGAGGGGCTGGTAGCTGGTGCCCAGACACCAAACAGGCATCTGAGGCAGTCTCCAGCTCCTGCCTCGGACGCCAGGCAGCACTCACCGGAATTCTGAAAACGTTGCCAGCAGGTCCTCAGTCTTGAGTGTTGACTCAAAGTCGTAGATCTCCACCACGTGGGCAAAATCCTTCTCTCCAGGCAGCTCCTCGACGGCGGCAAAGGTGTCCACGTAGATCATCTCCACCTGAATCTCCTTCTCAGTCAGGTTGTCAGTTATCTGGGAGAGGGCAGAGCTTCATCAGGGCGGCCCCGAGTGGGCAGGAGGAGAGAGCCCAGGCAAGCAGGAGCCTGGGGAAGGTGCCCAAAGGCAGACTGGGCGAGAAGACAGAGAAACAGGACTCTGGCCGGGAGGAGGGGAGAGAACTTACTTTCAAGGTTCCTCACTAACCCTCCTGTATAGACACACATTATGCTTCATGGAATCCTGAAGACTCCACCTGCCCATTTCTCAGACGGGGAAACTGAGCAAAGAGATAAGCCATTTCACCCACAGTTGCACAGTTAGTAAGAGACAGAGTCGGGGGAGCCCAAGATGATTCCTTGTTTATTAAGGATGCGATAGTAAGGAGATTTTACTGATCTCCATCCTTCATCTAGAAAACAGCAAAGATGCCAGACTTCCCACCGAATGTAACGAGACTCGTGAGAGAACCAGGCCAAAGTGTCATCTTCAGGGACAACACCAAGAGTTGCATAACAACAGGGCCACATTCTTGGAAAGGTGCCTCAGAGCGTGAATGGTTACACAGAGAGCCTTCCACATGCAGGGACTAAGGCAGTTACTACTATCCTGGGCAACCAGGGCCAAGGACTGGATGGAAGACGGTCCTTCCTTGATGCCTGTTGTAGAAGCAGTCATTGACAACGCAGTCCATGAGGGAGGTACTCTGCATCATTCACTGTGCCAAGCACTCCACTTCCACACACCCATAAAGTACTGCACCAAGGGATCGGCTCCCCTACTTCCCATAATGCACCGCAACAAGTACTTCTGCTTCCACACCTCCCACAATGCACTGCACCAAGCACAGCTGCTTCCACAACTCCCATAATGCACTGCACCAGGCACTTATTTCCACACAACCCATAATGCACTGTGCTAGGCACTTCTGCTTCCACACCTCCCACAATGCACTGCACCCAGCAGTTCAATAAACCCATAATGCACTGTGCCAAGCACTCCCATTTCCACACACCCCATAATGCACTGTATCAAGCACTTCTACTTCCATACACCCCATCACCACTGCATGTAAGGAATATATATATTTTTTTGCTTTTTTAGGTCACACCCAGAGAAGCACTGGGATTGGAATTGCTCCTGGCGGTGCTTGGGGGACCATATGGGATGCTGGGAATCCAACCCGGGTCAGCCGCATGCAAGGCAAACACCTTACCCGCTGTGCTATCGCTCCAGCCCCAGGAAAATTTCTTAACATGTGTTTTTCAGAGGAAGAAAACTTTCAAAAGCAAAGTGATTTTACCCATAACAAAAAATCTCCTAGCATGGCCGAGCAGGTTACCCAATCCATACCCTTTGATGCCATATGCTGCTCCTGCTCCCTTCCACTCTGTGAGTCCAGATCCCCTTGGTCAAGGAGACCCTTCCTTCCTCTAAGGGGCCCCTCACACCCCAAACCCAGTCCTGCTCGGCCAGCACATCCCTGCCTCTCCACACCGGGACCCCATCCACCCACAGCTTCGCCTTCCTCACTTCCGCTCTCCCTTTCCCAAGCGCAAGGAAGGGCCTCGTCACCTCGGGCAGCAGCTCACTGTAATCATCCTCAGAACAGACGCCAGGGCCCTCCTCTTCTTCTTCTTCCTCCTCTGCCACTGGGCTCTTCTCCGGATCACTCCCATTGCCCTCTTCTGAGTCCAGCTGTAGACGAGCTCCAAGCTGTGTGGCTGCTTCCAGCTGCTTCTCTATCTCCAAGAGGCTCTCGGACCCGGATTGCTCAGCGCCCACGGGGTCCGATGGTGCTTCCCGCTCAGCACTTTGGCCCTGGTCCTTTTGGTCCTCTACAGCTTGAGTCACCAACACTGGGTGTTGCTGATCAGAACTGGGGTCCCCAGCACCAACATGCCCCGACTCCACCGGGCGCCCGTTAGCTGGCTCATGTGCCTCGAGCTCTGGGGTGGCAGGTGGTGCCGAATCTTCTTGGCAACGCAGCACCCGGGGCACATACAAAGCCTGGTCAGGCTTTCGTCCTCGCTGCCACCGGCCGGCCCGCGCCCCTCGGGGGCTGGCAGTTGTTCCCTGGTTTAAGGTGGGCCGAGAACCTCGAAACTTGCTGGGTCGGGAGGCAGGAGGGCGGGAAGGGCCAGAGTGGCCTTCTGGACTGGGTAACCTAGAGCAAGAACAGAGAGGTGATGAGGGGTGTGCTGGCTCCCAAGCAAAGTGTGCTCGTGCTGCCTGCCGTCTGGAAGGGGGTGCCCAAGTCATTGTCAGGCCAAGGTCCTAGCTGAAGGCGCCCTCAAATCACTCAGGAAGGCACTCTAGCAGAGGCTGATCGCCATCCTACATAAGCCAGTGCAGCAGGACCCTGCTGGGGTAGGTGAGCGGGCAGGGGGGGGTGGTAGGGGAGCAGGAAGAGAGTTTTTAGGGAAATATCTGACTTAAGACAGAAACCAAGGCTCGGCTGTGGTGGCCCCACATCACATATCTGGCCGCCCTAGGGCATAAGCTGAGCTGGAGGAATGGGAAACTGGCAGACACGTGCATCTTTTCCATCTCCAGAACCAACACGGTGAGTTGGTTTGCTCAGTGAATTCCGCAAACACTACACCTCTACTCCGATGTTGAAGCAATTCACAGCTCTGAGCTTCAGGAATGAAACGGCAAGTCTGGGTAAGGGGAGAGGGGGTGCCCGGCCCTGCTTTCTGCCAAGCTAGCCCCTCTAAGAACTGGTCTGTTCACCCCACCACTCCCAGATCACCCAAGGCCCCCCTCCAAGGCATCAGAACACATACCTGATGTCCTTGTGACAGATGACTGTCCTCCTCCTCCAGCCCTCGCCTACAGAGAAGCTGCTCAACGGATCAAAACTCTCCGCGGTCCTGTGGATCAGGTACCGGAGGCGGCTGGAGACTGGCGGGAAGAGAAGGACCCTGGGAAGGAAGGAAAGAAGCATCGTTGAACAAGTTCTGGGGCAGCCCCGGGACACAACCTCACCGGGACCACCGCCAGTTTCAAGGGGGTTAACACTAGGCTGCTCCCCCGGCTCTGAGTTCCAGCGAACCTCAAGGGCCCAGACACAAAGACTGGGCCACCAAAGGGCCTACTGGTTGATCCATTCCCCACTCCCATGCTCGACCCCCTACTCTCAGGCTGATACTCAAAATTGGAGGAAAGATGAAGTTGGGAGAGGTCGGAGAGAGACTAAAGCGAAAGGTGGTCAGAGCCCGCTGCCAATAGCTGTTGGCATCCCTGGGGAGGGGCGAGGCGGGGTGGAGGTGGGGGGCGGTGGGGGGGGAGGGGTGCAGCGAGCGACGCACCCCCCAGGGCCACGCACCCCCCAGGGCCACGCACGGGCCTCCAGCTCCCTCCCTGCACTCACTTCGACAGCTGCTTCTGCTGCACGAAGCGCTCCAGCTCCTCTTGAACCCGGTGCACGAAGTCATTCTCGGCCGCCGACAGAAAGACGCCGTCCAGGAGAAGGGCCAGCGTGCCAGGTGGGAAGGCCTGCGGGGAGGTGGGCAAGCGGGGGTCAGAGCCCACCCCGGGCCACGCCGCACCCTGCAGGGCCGCCGCTCAGGACCCAGAGCCAGGGCGCCCAAGGCGGGACCCTACTCCGCGGGAGGCCCGGAGCAGCCGCCCGCCCGGGGCCAGGGGCCAGCGCGGGGCCGCCGACGGCCTGGACCCGGCCCGGGGCTCCGCGTCCCCCCTCCCCCCCGACGCATCCCGGGCAACGGGGAGCCCAGCGCCCACCTGCCTCCTCTTGGCCCCGGGGCTGCCTCCCGCCCGCTCCGCCGCCGCGCTCGGCTCGCCCGGGGGCCGGCCTGGAGCCGGGGCCCGGGCGGCGCGGGATGGGGCGGGATCGGGGCGCCCCGCACCCCCTCTCGGTACTCACCGCGGCCGCCCCGCGCGCCACCGCCGCCGCCGCCGCCGCTCGCGGGTCCCACACGCCCCGGTGCCCGGCGCGCCCGCCCCCTGCCGGCCTCCGCGGAGCCGCAGCGCCACCGCGCGGCCCGGGGGAGGCATCGCAGCCAGCTCGGGGAACCTGCTCTGCGTTTCCCCAGGGAGAGCAATGTGGGACCCAACTGGGATCCAGTTGGCTGGGCCAGTGCTTTCAAGGGCTGCAGGAGGGAGGGGAGGGGAGGGCACAGGGTTTTCCCGTTCATGAGTCTCTGCCCTGTGATGTCCCAGAGGATGGAGGAACAGGAGCGGAGTTTCTAGGCACCAAACCGTTTGTCCCCCCACACCCCACATCACTAGCCTTCTTGGCCCTTACTGATTGGACCCCCCATGAGGCTCAGCTCACCGGTGGGGTCCCCGACATGACCTGTAGCATGGGGATTTGCCCTGCTGCATCCAGCACTCACCTTCCATGGGGCATGAAATCTGGATATTGGACAGCCCGTGGTATGGACTGTGAGGGGTTCAGTTGATCTGGGGTGAAATCCTGCTCCCCCCGAGGTGCTGAAATTTAAGCACCTGGTGATCCTGAATGCACAGGCCACGGCAGAGCAGGACTGGTCGAGTGCACCGCTGATGGGGTGGAAAATCAGAGTGGGACAGTAGGGGTGGGGGTTGGGGGACTGGGCAGGGTGAGGGCAGGCCCAGGCAGCACCGACCTCCCCAAAGCCGGGGAGAAGAGGGGCTGGTGGCAGAACGAGCAGAAAAATGACTGGACAGTTTACTCTCTTGCACTTTCCCCGGTTTCTTTAGGAGCTGGTGACATTACACCACATTTCATATAATGCTCCTGTCCCCAGTAGTTTTTCAAGCATGAAGAGGCCCTGGAATCAAGTCATGACCCAAGTCATGAGTCTCCTCCTGGGCATGGTTGTGAGGCACATCCTGAGGGTCTCATAGGTGCCCCCAGTCCAGAGAGGAGTCTTGCCCCAGGGGTAGAGGTTAGGGAGTATCAGAAAAAGCAAGAAAATAATAAAAAAACACAGAGCACAGCCATGCCCCTGGTGCTGGCACAGGAGAAGGTGTGGGCCTCACCGACACCCCAATGAAGCTGGCAGAGGAGAGCAGCCGGCATCTCATAAGTCAGAGCTGAACAGGAAACTGGTGGTTCCTCTGTGGGTGGAGGATGCTGAGGCAGTTCACCCTGCTCTGTCTCAGCTGCCTCTACAGCAGGGGAGGGGAGCTGGTACCCAGTCAGAGGTGATTATAAAGGACAAATGGTAGCACAAGGGACCTGAGGAATTTCTACAGCAAAATTTGTAAATTAATTTTTTATTTTTATTTATTTATTTATTTTGAGTTTGGGGGCCACACCCGGCAATGCTTAGGTGTTACTCCTGGCTCTGCACTCAAGAATCATGCCTGGTGGGCTCAGGGGACCACATGGGATGCTAGGGATGGGAACCCAGGTTGCCCATGTGCAAGGCAAATGCCCTACCTCCTGTATTATCTCTCCGGCCTCTCTACAACAAAAAGTTTTTTAAAGTGTAGCAAGAAAAATAAGGAAAGAAAAATATTAGAAGATTATCTTGGAAAAAAGAGGGGTGCAAATGATGCTGTGTCAATTTCCAAGGTAACTGGCGTTTGATTTCTGTGTTTTAGGGGATTAAACAGAAGGGAAACACTTAGGGAAGAGGCAGCCAGGTTCTCTATGGACACAGAATTATTGAAACTGCCTCAGAGCGAGTGAAAGCTGCCAGAGCTAGTTAGAGTCCCCCATAAACTGCACTTAGCAGCTGACTCTAAGTCAGCTGAAGGGGAAGATAATTACTAGTTACACAGAGCTCCCTAATAAACCAAGCACACTGAGGAAGGAAAGGGAACTACTAGTTTCACAGAGCTCCCAATAAACTGCACTCAATTTGGCACCAGCCCTGTTGGATGGAGAAGCTTCCTCTCACTGCAGGGCAAGAAACTGAGAGTGAGCCAAGTGTGTCACTTAGAGTCAGCTGCTAAGTGCCTTGCTGAAACTCGCTCCAGTTTAGACCGCCCCACACACCTGCTCCCAGCACCCTCAGATGAAGACTCACCACCTTCAGAATGTCATACAAATTCTCTTGAAGTTGGGACCCTGCATCCAAACCACTGGAGGAGACAGCTAGATGGGGTGATGTAGGATTTAACCCGAAATAAGAAGTATGGCTGAAGGATCATGAAAGAGCTGAAGCCAGGGGACACAGGGCTGTAAGTCATCCCATAGAAGGGTCTGGACACCTCTATTGTGACAGTGACCCTAAATCGCAACCCAATATTCCCTGTCCTTGCCATGGGGATGGGATCCATGAGTGCCCATATCGATCTGAGATCTAGGTCCTGGACTGCATCTCCTCACTCTAAGCCACCTCAGTCTGTCTGAGAGTTAATGCAGGCTCCAGATTGTCCGCCAGTAACGTCAGCTGACTTGTGAGGATGAGTGTTCCCTCATGGATATCACATGATCCTTGTCATTGGGAGCTGTTCTTATGCTCCTGTGCTTTTTGCACGTTAGAGAATCCAACACCCTTGTGGGTGGTGTGACTTCAATTTAAAAAGCACAGTGGGTGGCTAGAGAGATAGTCCTGTAGGTAGGGTGCTGCCTTGCAAACAGCCAATCAGGTACCACACGGGGTGTCCAGAACCCTGCCAGGCTTGATCCCTGGGCACAGAATCAGGAGTAATCCATGAGCAGAGTTGAATGTGTCCCCAAGGCTGCCCTCCCCTCAAAAGTAAATGGATCGCAGACTAAAATTTTTAAAGAGGCACACATAAAAATATTTGTAAACAGTTTAACAATATGAAAAGAACTGCATGTGTAGTGTTTAAAAATCAACAAGAGTGGTTTAAACATAGCACAGAGGAAGCTTATGTCTACAGTGTCGCTGGATATGTAGAAGAAAATCAGGGCCTGGTTCAGAGGGAACAACACACTTTTCCCTGTTTCCTCTGTAAAATAAAAATAAAACTCATGGACATTATATATATATATATAATATATATATTCACACCCACGCAGTATTCACACCCACAAACCACCTCCCCCGCCATGTAAGCTCATCTTTACTGGCCTTGTTCCAGGGATTCATAAATAAATTTCAAAGGAGATCAACTAACTGTAAAAAACCTCTTGGATACCCATACCTAGCTGAGACACCAGGAACACTTTTGGAGGGTACAGGTCAGTACCCACCCAAAGAAAACCCCAGCAACCACTCCCTTCCACACCCCAAATCTAAAGCCATGCCTCCGAAGGACCCTATCGCCTAAGGACTACTGAACCTCACAGTGAACTAAATCCAGCTGAAACCTCAGGTACACAGTTCCCTGTGACTGAAAGCTCCGTGCCTTTTCAAAATCAGAATGGGTACTTCTCCCCACTTCCCCGTACTCCTGGAAGCCCCAGCAGTCACACCCATGAACCACCTCCACCGCCATGTAAATTCTGTTAAAAAAGTTTAACTCCAGCAGGACTCAGGAGTTAAATATTCTGACTCAGCAAAGATACAGAATTCAACACCATTAACCAGCATGCTCTAACAAACATCTCTTTAGCATACTGACTCCCCAACATTAGAATACTCTTTCTTTTAGTGTACCCACTGAACCTATCCTATAATTAACTATTTCCTGGTCCATAAGATAACTTCAACAAATTTAAATGAATTGAAATCACAGAGAGTGTTAACTGATTGTAGTGGACTAAAAGTAGACATAATTAACAGAATAACAAAAATAAATCTCTGAACATTTGGAAACTAAACTGCACTAAATAATAACTGAGTCAAAGAGAAAACTGAGAGAAAAACTACTTAAATGCATTAAGTGAAATGAAAATAGAGAATACCAAATTTGTGGGACACAAATTTACCCCCAAAAAGGTAAGTAGTGCTGAAAGGAAACAGTATTTGATGCATATATCAAGGAGAAAGGAGGAAGAATAATTTTTAAGTCAAAAGAAAAAGAAGAGCAAATTAAACCACAATTTTTTTCGTTTTTGACACATAACTGATTATAATATTTAGAAATTAAATGTTTTAAATACTTTGTTGAAACAAGGGAGAAGGTAAACCCACAGATTAAAATCTGTTCTAGAAATAAATAAATGGATAAATAAGTAAATGATATATATCAGGGTAAAAAATTATTTTCTGTGGGCATTAAACAGTAATAATTTAGTCAGAATACAAAAGAAAAAGCTCAAGTGGCATAGAGATTTCCCTAGCAGCTCTCGCCAGAAGAAAATGGAATCATCTAGACATTTTAAGGGAAAATATTAAAACCAGAAACTTCTGTAACTGGTGGCAATGTAGAGAGGTTTCAGACCTGTGAGGACTCTAAAAGTACATTACACAACTCACAAGAAACATGGCTGAGGGAAACAGGCAATCCTGGTTCAGAGGCCGAGCAAACATAAACCTTCTAGGGTCCATCCTGTGTCCTGCACGGCTTTATATTTTATTTATTTTTTTGCTTTTTGGGTCATAGCCGGCGATGCTCAGGGGTTACTCCTGGCTCTGAACTCAGGAATGACTCCTAGCAGTGCTCGGGGAACCATATGGGATGCTGGGAATCGAACTCAGGTTGGCTGAGTACAAGGCAAATGCCATACCTGCTGTGCTATCACTCCAGGTCCTGTCCTGTATGGCTTCAATCGAGTGACTTTGGGGACAATCCACCAAGTCACTGAAATTGTTTCCTCTAATCACCTCGTGAGCCTGTTCCAGGAGAGTTTGCTCAGAATGGTCTCCGTGAGAGTCTCATCATCACCTTAATACCTTTGATAAACAGGATTGAGTCTGATAGATGGGGATAGAGAGGGATAGATGAGATGAGATCTGTCCCCTCCCTCCCCTCAGGCCCACCATGACCCATGGCAACTAGCTGTCATTTCTTAGAGAAATTCCCTTTTCTTTCCTTTTTCCTTTGGTGATTTAATGACGGACTCCTTGGTATGTTTAGGACTTAGTTCTACAACTCACTAAATGTTTCTAAGTAACACTTTGATGTTCCTGCTCCTTCCTGGAAATCTCCTAGAAGACATAATCCAGATAACCAAGAGAGAAATCAAAATAAATTCAACTGGGACTGGAGTGATAGTACAGCAGGTAGGGCATTTGCCTTGCATGCGGCTAACACTGGCTCGATCTCCAGCATCCCATATGGTCCCCTGAGCACCGCCAAGGAGTTAATTCCTGAGTGCAGAGCCAGGAGAAACTCTGAGCATCTCCGGATGTGACTCCCCGCCAACACACAAAAAAGCCAAAATAAACTTGACTGGGAAGTCACAGTGAAAAGACCTTGAGAGAACATGTAATTACTTAACATTACATTAAACTACCATACTTATGACTACAAAACAAAACATAAATGTTTTAAATCTTGAGTGAGGACTATTTAATAGAAAAACAAAACAATTTGTATCATAGTGGATTAGGGCA